CAACGTCCGTGACATACAGTACCTTCCCAGGATGCACAGTCGCACAGAGAAGCAGTGCGTACACAGCGAAGCTGTGTGTGTACCACATGAGTAGTACAGCCTCGGTTATTGCAGTAACCGGCTGTGCCGTTTCATATCTTGTGACGGCTGTATTAGGCAAGCTGTGTAAACCAGCGCCTGTTCAACACTCATCATGTCCGCACCCAGCGTAACAAGTTGATGCCTTCGGGTAGCACGCCCAACGACTTCTTTGCCACCCCTGAGCAATGGGGCGGGCAGAACTGTCACGGACGTTGGACAGACGCCCCTTTTTGCCGCCCATTCCCTTCCCTTTGACGCCCACCTTCCATTTCCGGACCGTTTCCTTTCCTAGCTCATCCCAGTTTGGACACTGTAGATACGTTCCCACAGCCGCATGCTACGTTCCCGTGATCACCATGCCCTTGCCTTTTCTTTCTCGCCCTTTGTTCTCCCTTTGTCATCTTCACTGCCTCGCTCTCGCGCCTTGTCTTTGGTTGCTAAGCAGCCCTTCTAGTATATAAGGACCCCCCTAGGCACTCCCTAGTCCCCATCTCAACCTCTTGGTCATTGGGACTAGGTGAGTGACCATAGCGTTGTATCCCTCTTTGATTGCTAATGTATAACTTGGTCATTGGGACTAGTCTGTCGCTGTCTGCATGAAGACTAGCTTTCGCAGGTCTTGTGCCCTCGTGCCGACCTCCGCTCTGCCCTCGTCGAGTTTCTTGCTACGTTTATCCCTCTTTATCTCCCTCTTCCCCTTTCGGCTCCTTGCCGCTCGCCTACGAGGTCGTCGCCGAACGTCGACCCGAGTCTACGCGCCTAGTCGCCGCGACAAGAACTGTGGTATTCCGATTGTTGCTGATGTCGCTGAAGCCCTCCGGGCACAGATCAACATGCGTCATGAGGATGCTTATAAATTTGTTGATGACAGCTTCCGCCAAGCTGCTGAGAATGCCTATGAGACCATTGGTTCTCCTGCACTCACTGTCCAGAACGGTTGGGAGGTGTTTGCACAGATGAAGCTTGTCCTCCATACTGTATATGCATCTGGAATGTAGAATAGACCCCTCTGACGATCTATATGAACTCAAGTACATAGGAGTCGACTGACACAGAAACTCTAACACGCTCGGATATATTCGCAGCCAATATTCGCAGCCAGTGGAACACATTGCGCGCCTGGGGAGGCGTTGAGGATGGGGAGAACGCAGACTCAGAATGCAAGGCCGTTGTTGAGCGCGTAGATATGCATCTGTAGCGCGAGTTGCTCGCAGACAATGTTCGGGTTGTTAATAACGTAGGTCGAGGACAGCGCAGGCAGCGGATGTGTGTTAATGGGTATGGGTACGGCGAGCCGATCTGTCTGGGCTCGATGTCGAGCGGCGAGGGAGAAAGGGCTGCAGTGTGGCTCTGAGGAGTAGGCGGTATGGGCGCGCCAGGTCGGACACTCCCTGAGCCCATGACAATCCCGAGGTACCAGAGCCGGACGAGCCGTTAGCGGACGAATTGGAACGGTTCGACAAGCGACATGCGTTGAGCCTTGCGTGCAGCACGACAGTCTGCCGCGAGGTGTGAGAAGGAGCGACAGATGCTCGCCAGCGCCGTAGAATTTATGAGGGCTGGGTCCCGGTGGAGCGATCACGACGCGAGTGAGTGAAGCTTGGTGGTGTGAGATGGCGCAGCAAGGACAACCAAGGTCGCATCCATCTCGCGATCGAGAGCCTGGAATTGATACAGGATGTCAGATCAAGTTGCGTTAAGACAACCATCGTCCAACTTACTGCCTGGACCAAAGCATCCCAACGCGTGTCCAACCGTCTTCTCCGCTTCTGGGGGTTGCTCATGTACGTGGGATGGAGTTCCAGAGCTGACAGATCATCCCCTCGCCAACCTCTTCCTCATCGACCCACTCCCCGTCGTCATCTGCAGCCGGGGAGACCTCTATCTCCGTTCCGTTCCAGTCCCGTTCCTTCCTGCCCACGCTACCTTCCAGCTCCCTGACGTACTGATCGACGAAGCGCTCTTCACCTGCGGTCTTCTCGCCGGACGACGGCTCCGGACTTGTCTCTCTCGGCTGGGTGCTATCGACATGCGGAGGAGGCTTGATCCTACGGGCGGGCCGAGCAGTGTGTTGCGCGCGCAAGTGTCTGTTCTGCTCGCGCCGCCGCAATCCACGTCCGCGCATCGCGGGGGGCAGGAGAAAATTCACGGGTTCATGACTCGGACTCGACCGGATGCTCGCCGCCATTGACTGGCCATTGAGTCTGAGGCCCCCACAAGCAGGTACAAACACCCACGGGTTGTATTCAGGGCCCGGGAAGGGCGTCGAAGACGGGGAGAACGCGGACTCGGAGGAGGGAGGCGCAAGGCCGTTGTTGAGTGCGTAGATATGCATCTGCAGCGCGAGCTGCTCACGGATGATGTTCGGGTTGTTCGGATCATAGGTCGAGGACATAGCAGGCGTGGGGCGGGACACCGTCGAGCGGTGGATGTGCATGAATGGGTATGGGTATGGCCAGCCGATCTGCCTGGGCTCGATGTCAGAGGGAGTGGCAGAGATGAGCGGCGAGGGAGAAAGGGTTGAGGTGTGGCTCTGGGGAGTAGGTGAAATGGGTGCACCAGGTCGGACGCTCCCTGAGCCTAGGAAAGTCCGGAGGTACGAGGACGTAGGGCCGTCATTAAGGCTCTGCATGTTGTCAGATTGGACGCTCGTCTGATTCCATCCGTATCCAAGCCGCTGATCGAGAACGCGGTTCAGGTTCATCGAATACTGACGAGGATCATATGGAGGGTAAGGAATCTGCTGTCTATGAGGCTCCTGTTGAGGAGGCGAGGGCGATTGCGATGCACGCTCCCGTGTGCCAGCCAACGGAACATCCTGAGCGCTGCTGTTCCTCAGATTGTTGACGGTGTCACGCTCGAACATCGTCGCATCAAAGCTACGCATACCGAGCTGATCAGCGATCCCCGACCAATGCTTGGCAACACCAACTCCACATACTGGTTTGATTGCGAGGCATACGGGTTGTTCGGAGGTCATACGGGGAGTGTCGCGGACGGGGGACGAGGAGTGTATCTACTCGCCTCGGAGGCCTCACTGCCCTTATTTTGCTGTCGCTCTTCTTTGCCCTCTTCGTTGAGGGTGCCGTCGTCATCGTTGTGGCGGTTATCGTAACGGTTCCTGCGTGTCACGATCGAAGCCGAACTTGTTCTCCTTGTCAAAGTGCTGGTTGAGATAGAGCGGGATCGCCTGCCGACTCGACTACGTTGAGGTTGTTCCGCGCGCGGTCGGTGATCATCGGGACCCCGCCGTTGAAGTTCAGCTTGAGGAACCAGGGCTCCTTCTGGGTGTTCGTGCTGAAGTAAATCCTGAAGACGCAGCGGTCCGGGGCGAGCGTCAGCTCAGTGTTGTGATCGGACCCATAGAGCACATACTCACTCGTATTGGAGGCCGTAGGTGAGCGGTTCGGAAGGGATTGGCTGACGAGTTGTGGGACGACGAGTGTGCTGTTGGCATGGAGGAGGGGCGAGACTGGAGGACCTGATCGCTCTGCGAGGCCGGAGGTTAAGCTTGAAAGACGTTGTCGAGGAGATGCGCAACAAGGGAGAGGCAAGCGGCAGGATAGCACGGAAAGCAGACGGTGTGGGAGAAGTTCCACTGCGAGCGCCTGCCCGCATGCTCAAAGGCGGTCTGGCACCCCATCGAGACGTCGTGCACGATCCTCCTCCAGAACGTCTCGCTGAGCAACTTGTACTGAGTCAAATACTACGTCATGCAGGTCGCGTCCATCGACCAGGTCCGCTTCCCAGAGATGATGGGCAAGTTCTTTATCGTCAACGCGCCTTAAGTGTTCTCTGCCGTCTCGACGTTCACCAAGCCCTCGCTCAACGAGGCTACCGTCGCCAAGATCGACATCTTGGGCAGTGGCAAAACGACTTGCAAGCTCCTCGTAGCCTCAATAATCCTGCAGGCGGAACTGCGAACGGGTTCAGCGCTGTATCAACTCTTGGGTGCCTGACCACTGACCCACCTCGTCCCAATTATCCACATCGTAGTATCAGTGCTCTGTCATCAAAAACATGTTAGAACGTCTCGGTAGGAGATATGGGATGTGTAAAAAGCGGTTCAGAAGAGTGCAAGAAACCTGTGAGGAGGGGAGATGGATCGCAAGTGAGCTATCAGTTAGCATGCATGATAGCGCTGCTAGTCTGCCGGTAAGTAGTAGGGCAGGTTTGACAAGCAAGCAATGACATCCGAGTACGAGTTCTTGAACAGTATCTAGCATGTACAAATGTCGTATTCAGTATACTATTCTAGGCCACCTCCGGATCGTCGGTATCATTCCCTTCCCGAGATGATATATACGAAACAAGGCCCGATCCACGAGTATCATTCTCCTCATCATCTTTGTCGTCCGAGGAATCCGTGTTGTACTTGTCTTCGTTATGGCGAGCGCGGATACGGTCCCTATTCTCGAGCGGATCAGAAATATCCCGTAAACCAAGCTCAACGCAGATATCATTGCAGATATGGTCGGCCAGGAATGTCTTGATGCCGGTTTCTCCATAGTCTCCGATACCACTGTCGCTAAACAAAGTATATTTCAGAATCAGAATATGGATATTGAAATTGTGAGAGCTGTACCCGGACTCGGTGTGTGTCATGACATCAAAGAGGATATCACCTCTCCCTCCGTTCTGAAGCCTGCCACTCGACGCTATGTTGTAGAAAATCATGAGTTTGCTCATGCACAGTATAAACCCAAAACCTACTTTGAAGGTCAGAGAACACAAGGGTCCGATGACTATACACATATGCAAAGTGGACAAAAGCCGTCAATGTTGCGCCACGCTTGTCTGCGTGGTTCGGATGTGCCATTGTGCCACTCCAACGCTCCATGGCAACAGACCTCTCAGGTTCTAGCAGCCATACCAGGCCAGCATCCTGTTTGGAGAAACTGGTCTTGTTCCACTGATCTATGGAAATTCCTGAAGCAGGGCTGGGACGAGATGTCAGATCATCAAGAACCTCACGTCCTAAGGCACAGTACGAGAACTCGAAGCCTGCGAGCAAATCAGCTCACTCAGACATTTCTCAGAAAGATCGATTCAACTTACGTTCGAACACCTCAACCTCTCTTTGAGCAGCAACCTCATGCAACTTTTTGAGGAAATATGTACCCTGATAGAGGCGCTCGGCTTCGTGCTCAAGGGAGGCAAGGTTCTCTGTACAAGTCACGACATTCTCCCCCTGTCCGATCTGAAAGAAGCGTTTAGCGACAAAATCTTGTGTCGAGTCACCCATGGAAACTTTGGCCTAAGACAAAGTTGCCTTCATATGGTGAGAACATCAGTTAGGATATTGCAAAGATGCGCACCTTGTAGACAAGCTTGGTTGCCCCATGGGCAAATGAGGCATCTGCTAATTCGATGCTGCAAACTTCATCCTTCCATGTCATACTGAACTTGCCAGAGGCACTGATTCGCAGTCGAGCAAACTGGAGAAGAACCTTAGTGGCTGGGATGATTGTCGGCGCATTTCGGGCATGCGGAACATAAGCAGACTCTAGCCGGATGGTGTTTGCTATCGAAAGCCATGAGATCAGTCATTACACAACATGCAGTGTTCATCAAAGAACGTACTGCGCATCCGCTTTGCATCATTACCAACGAACATAGATCCTGGCCATTTCTTGGCCTGAGCTTTGGTCCACTGTACAAGCTCCTTCATCTGTAAAAACCACCTTTGCGAATTACACCTATTCAGTACAAATTAGCTCTTAATAGACACAGTAGTTGAATAGTGAAAAATAGTGCAAAATCGAGAGGTCCCCAAAAATAATTGCACTATTTCGCACTATTCATGCAAATTCGTGCAAAGTAGCACTATAGTAGACGGAAATAGTGCTACAGTAGATGTTGATAGTAGTGGATAGAGTGGGTCTATAATTTCTGACTAGTGTAGAAATGCTTAACATGACCTCAAAACCATCTGTTTATAAGCCCCAGATGCATTTAAAGTGCTGGAAAAAATATTATAAAAAAATGTCCTCATCCAGTCTTGAACCCCCAACCCCACTTTCAGATAACACTCCTATTCCGAAGGGGTGCTCTCTACCACTGCACCACCAG